AGGCCTACGCGAGAAGGTTTAGGGTTTAGGCAGCTGTTAGGGTTTAGGGTTTAGGCGATTTGGCCTTCCCCCGGTAGACATGTGAGGGAGAGAAGTCTGAGTCTTGGTGCCTTTTTAATCACAACCTTACGGAAAGGATCATGGAGGCTCAAGAACTTGAAGCTGCACATATATACTCTTAGGGAAAAACCTACAAACCTACTTTAGCTTGCCTTTGCAGCTTTGCAAAAGCAAAAAAGTTGATCTTTCGCCTGAAGCTCTGATCAATTGCTGCTGGAGCCTTGTTTCTAAACCCCTAAGCCCTAAGCCCTAAATAGTAGTTTCCATTTTCTTTTCCATTTTCCCCATAATGTAATCCCTATAAAACCCCATATTCTATCTAGCCCTAAGCCCTAAGCCCTGTGTTCATCTACGCGGTCCCTACTAATTGGCTTCTCAGGCCACGCATTCACTTGACCGAACTGTTGAAGGGCTTTAGGCGGCTGAGGACTCTGACTTCACCTTTGCCCGCGCAGCATCCACCAGGGCCGCAGTCAAATGTTTGATCTCCGTCCGCTGCTCGGCGTCCTTAAGCTGACCCTCAACGATGCTTGAGGCAGTAGTCTTGATCTTGGTGTCGGTCATGCAGGTGTACAAGATTAGGTCGGTTTGGAAATTGCGCACCGCCGTGGTCGAGGCCTGCAGTGCGCCTGACTTCCCACCAAGCACGTCATCCTCATCCAGCTTAATGAAGTTGAATGTCTTGAAGTGCGTGCCAATCTGGTCCACCACCTGTTGGGCGTAACCAATGAACTCAATAAGAACCCCAAGTGCATCAGCTGCACGAACAAGAAGGAAGTAGCTTGTTACCGCAATTCTTAATGGCCCATTGAGGTTACTCAGTTTCGGCGGCAATGGGGCTGAATGGGGCCTTGCAATGCTTCTCTTTCAAAAAAAAGTTACGCTTACATTTACATGTGTACTTGGGAGAACACATGGAAAAGTAAAGCCCAAAACCCATGGGTTGCTTCCATGTCATCCATATGAGTTATAATCTAAAGTCTGTAACAGGCTGTTCTAAAGGGGAGTATACAACCCCTTTCATTTGCGGTTTAGGGTTGAGGGTTTAGGGGATTATATAGGGGATTAAAAAGGAGGTGTTGGGCGTTTTAAGTAAGGAAAGATATAGTAGGAGCTTAGACTACACCACTGCTCATGTTGAGGGAAAACTGGCCAAATGTCTAAACCTTAATCCAGACTTCGGGAAGAAAATGTATGGCAAACGATCCAGGAGGGGGAAGAACCTGATGGAAGCTTATGTACCCCAAACCCAGAAGAGCCTTATAGAGCCTTTAATCCAAACTCTCCACCCTTGTATACACCCTAAACCCTAAACCCTAACTATAATTCCCCATCTTGTGACCCCTTCCCTGAGTGGGCCCTGGACCTTGTAGTCGCCCTCGTAGTGCGGCAGTGAGCCAGTTAGAAGGCAGTACAACAAGCCTCGGGCACTCAGCCACGCTGCGTAGAGTTTGGGGTGTATTCGGAGGTGTACCTAAACCCCAACAACTTTTGGGGTCCTAAACCCTAAACCCTGAATAATATATAGTAGTTTCAATTTTCTTTTCCATTATCTTACATACTTTTGGGGTCCTAAACCCTAAACAATATAGTAGTTTCCATTTTCTTTTCCATTATCTTACATACTTTTGGGGTCCAGGTAAAGATGTTGAGGAGGATTCAGGTGGCTCTGAGCCCCTAAACCCTAAACCATTTGTGAGGACACCTAAAACTCCGGTGAGCCATACAAGAAGACCGGCCATCCCTCTCAACCTACAAACTCAACGAGGTTTAGGGTTTATAGTCCCCCTTAAGTATATGGCTTCGTGTATATGATAGTAGGATCCTCATATACCCCATATTCTATCTATTTAAGGGGGACTATACTCCTCTACCCCTTGTCCCCCCCAGTTTGAAATTCATTTCCCGAGGCGCTCGAGCTACTATTCTATCTACTTAAGGGTGACTATATCCCAACACCCTAAACCCCGTATTCTATCTACTTAAGGGGGAATGTCGATGATTTTCGAACGTTCTAGTTCAGGGTGCAGGCTTCAGTCCATCTTGTGTGGAAGGTCCTGCAGGCCAGGGTCAGCAAGGGGCTTTAGGGTCTAATGCTTTAGGGTTTAGGGTTTAGGGTGTAGGGCTTAGGGTTTAGGGCTTCGGTTTCCAGATAGTGTAGACGCCTGATAAGTAAAACCCTTTAAAGGGGAATTAATCATGGCTTTAGGACTTTAGGACCATTGGATTACGTACAGGTTCGTTATTCTTTTTGCTTTCAACTTCTACCTTGGCATGCTCTAGTTCGGATTTGACTGCCAGCTTTGCCTTTTCCCGCATACCATTCGTGGTCATTGAAGGCCTTCTTCTTCCAATTGGAAAACTTCAACCTTTGCGAGCGCTGGCGGTGAAGGTTGCCGTGCTCATTGCAGGCCTTTGTCAAAACCGTGTCCTCTACGGCACGTTGCTTCTGTGGAGCATTGCATCAACCGCCGCCTGTAGGGATTCCACTTCTGGCCACAGCAAGGGTGGGTGGGGATGGCATGGCCGGCTGCATGGAGCCATTTGGATTACAACTTTGTCTTCCTCATCGAGTTTAATAATGCATTATCATAGGCTTTGGTAGTGTAGTTACAAGAAATAGATGGACCCCAATATCTCCAAAAACTCAAACTCAGTATGGGTACCCCCAAAAATGGTAACCCTGCTTTCAGGCACCCCCGTTTAGAAGAAGTTATCTCCAACAATGATTCAGCTGTAGGAGTTGTCGCCCGTCAGGTTGGAGAGAGCTACTACACGATTTAGGGCCGTATTTTCCTAAACCCCCAAACCCTAAGCCCTAAACCCTATTTCCTAAACCCCCAAACCCTAAACCCTATAAACCCTATTTCCTAAACTTCCTAAACCTTTAGGTCTGAGGAAAGCACCCAATAGCACGCTTCTACAAGGACCATGGCATTTGCAATTAACTCTGTGAACACCTATATGAGCTATAGTCTGAACGTTGTTGAGGCGGATGCTGGGAGCTCTAAGACCTTAGCTCATACAATCTCAGTTTCCATTTACTTGTCCATTTTACCCATTTGATTCTTAATCTCTAGATTAATATCCCATTTTTTGTCCGCCCTTCTAATACCATTTTGCCCTCCGCATTCCATCATTCTGCACGTGTTAGCCCTAAACCCTATATGCCACTAAAGCCTATACCCTTGAACACCTACACCTTTTCAAGGGCCAAAATCTTGTACATGAAGCAAAACCAGGTTCCCCGCAAGCGGGTTTTGGG